CCCCTAGTACTTCTGGTATACGACTTAGGTATTTAATCTGAAATTTTGAGTGCCACTTCTTTCGAAACTATATGCACATGGCACGTACCAGTTTTTTTCTGCTCATCATTCCATATGTAGGCGTGAGTGGCGCCCTCGCTGGACGAACTGCATCAGTGGGTTTTAAGCACCGTGGAGGGCACACCTCACGCGACCTTGTCAGGCTAACCACGCCATAGTTCGTCTAAAACAATAACAAGTTACATAACACACTTATGCATCAATGCTCAGCCAGACAATATGTGAATTTAAACAACATCCGTCATTGAAATGGACCAGAGATTTCTAGACATCGTCGCGGCATCGTTCATTTCGGTAACACGGATACGATTTTAAAAATAATTACCAATAAGCAGGAATAAATCGCAAATACTAGTATATAAAAACTTCAGTTGAGTTATTAGAATATCGTGGTTTAAGATATACTACCACCATTCGGGGTCTCAGACCAGAAATTCTTCGGTGGTTCTCTATTACATATCGACGTGGTTATGAAAAACACCCTGGATTTACCCAAGGATGCGATCTATTGAAAGTAAGCCTCAAAGACCCGTTGGATTCGTTCTCGAGAGATTCTCTCCCAAACTTTAGAAATCCTGTTATATGTCCACTGGTGTTGTGACAAGAAGTCTCTCAGACTAATATAATGTATTCAGAAATCAAGTCATTTGTTGTTTTCTTTTTGAATTCGGCTTGTCCATGCAGGGTGGAGTGAGGGTGGGGGTTATGATGGGGAACTCTGGCAGTATTAATAGTTACCCTTTCAACGTCATTGCGTATTAGTGTATCTCATTTCACAAGCAGGTCGTTACTATACGTGTTCAACATACACCTGTTTCCGTGATAGAGGGCGCTGTTCAAATGTAACTTCGTTTTTTTTTACATCTCACTACTTCTCATTTCTCACTTTTTACCTCTCTCTTCTCACTTCTCATTTCTCACTTTTTACCTCTCTCTTCTCACTTCTCATTTCTCACTTTTTACCTCTCTCTTCTCACTTTTTACGTCTCACTTTTTACCTCTCTCTTCTCACTTCTTACGTCTCACTTTTTACCTCTCTCTTCTCACTTCTTACGTCTCACTTTTTACCTCTCTCTTCTCACTTCTTACGTCTCACTTTTTACCTCTCTCTTCTCACTTCTTACGTCTCACTTTTTACCTCTCTCTTCTCACTTCTTACGTCTCACTTTTTACCTCTCTCTTCTCACTTCTTACGTCTCACTTTTACCTCTCTCTTCTCACTTCTTACGTCTCACTTTTTACCTCTCTCTTCTCACTTCTTACGTCTCACTTTTTACCTCTATCTTCTCACTTCTTACATCTCACTTTTACCTCTCTCTTCTCACTTCTTACGTCTCACTTTTTACCTCTCTCTTCTCACTTCTTATGTCTCACTTTTTACCTCTCTCTTCTCACTTCTCACGTCTCACTTTTTACCTATCTCTTCGCACTTCTTACGTCTCACTTTTTACCTCTCTCTTCTCACTTCTTACGTCTCACTTTTCACCTATCTCTTCTCACGTCTCACTTTTTACCTCTCTCTTCTCACGTCTAACTTTTTACCTCTCTCTTCTCACGTCTAACTTTTT